GTCGCCGGGGGGAGGCAGGTAAAAGTGCTTTCCTCCGTTGCCCGCCTCCCGGAGTGGCGGGGTTGGGTTGGGTTTGGTTTTGCTGGTCTCGAAGGAAGGAAATTAGCTTGGCAGAAGAAACGTGACCGTAGCAAGTTTGGTTTCTTTTGAAACAGAGCTCGAAACTTGGGGTAGACTGATTTCCGACATCTACTATTTTGTATTTTTATGTCGTAATGTAACTTTGGTGTCGGTATGAGATGTGGACTTGACGTTCAAGCGAAGGGTATGTTAAGCAATGTCTTAAGAGCTCATCTAACTGTTCTGTGAACACCGGCATCCGATAAGCCTGCCTGTCCTGCTGCGGTGACGTTCATCAGAAGTCACTTAAATGATTGAGTTCTTCAGTAAAGCAGATAACTTTGTAATTGAAATACCCCGTGGCCGAAAATCAGCACTTCTGGGACTTCTTTTTTGCCTGGATCGGGACGCTGTGGGTCAGCAGTGGGGCTCTTTACTAACTTGTGGATCAAGTTGCAACCCCTTCCTTGGAAACTGAAAGAACAGTGGAGCACGGAGGTTTTTGGGGCTTTTTTGTTTTCAGTTTTCACCCTTAGTTTTCTTTTGGTCATATAGATCAGATGTTACTGCAATATAAATATTACTGATGTGTTTAAGTCTCAATGCAAAAAATATTTGTTTATGGCAACCTGATTATTAATAATTCTTTGGTGCAAGGAGATTTTACAGGATGGAAAGGTTCTGAAACTTCTTGTGTTTTTCTTCCTCTTCTTTTCTGTGTATATGTTTGGGGTTTTTTTTCCTGGTGGCTGATTTCTGCATGCATATAAAAGACAAAACATAGAAAAAGTTTCCATTCTGTTTCTTATGGAGTCTTATTATTAGCCCTAATCTATATGGACAAAGATGGGTTTTTGTTTATCTTTGGGGATTTTATTTCACCACACACGTTCAGCATTTGACACTCCAGTACTTCACCAAGGACCGACTGGCCTTTCATTAGCATGAAATGTTCCTTTTTATTTATTACAAACAGTCAGGAACAAGGCTGCTCAACCAGGAGCATCTTTGCAGTTGCGTAGGTGTTGCATTTGGTGGAGGTGATTAAGATATAGGAGAAAGAAAAGGCATGGAACTGGCTTAGAGCATGAAAAGGCAATACAGGAAGTTTTATCTGTCTCCTTACCATCTTCTTACAGTTATGATTCAGAATAATAAGTACAGCGGTCGCGTTGATAGGAAGGAAGGTGATTCCAGCTCAGTGGTTTATGAGCTAAATAGGGTATCTGTAGATTGCACTGATGGTAGACCTATTCCACTTACCTTGGGGTTGGAGTCGAGGATCTTTATCTAAATCACAGTTTCATTTGCTGCAGTCAAGAGCCTTTCCTTTATTAGGAAATCGGGATAGTCCACAAAGATATGAAAAGACTTGGGCTTCTTGGCCTTGTTCTTGAACTCTTTGTGCGGATAGCTGCAGGGTGGTAGCTATGATCCCTCTTGAGAGTGGAAGCAGAAAATCCCTAAGTTCTGAGGGGCCCAATTTGGTATGTTAAAGAGCTTTTTGTTGTGCTGGGTTGCAGTGTTAGTTTGGAATGCTGACGTTCTCGTATTTGGTGTGCGCTGACAGCTTTCTTCATAGATTAACTTAATTGCGTATGTTAAACAGTGTTGGGTTGGAACGCGGGCGGTAGGTTTGCCTGTCATGTTTATTTAGTGAGCTTTGCAGTGGAGAAAAATGTGCAACCCAACAGAGTGTGTGTCTTGGCGGGGGGGAGGGCCTAAAACTGCTTTATATTTTTGTTGTTAATGTGCGGAATGTATGAGGCAAGTAGTTGGGAACTATGTTTTTTGCAAATCGTTATGAGAGGTGTGTACAATAGGATGGTTTCCTAAACTTTAAAAGCATACGGAAATGTCCCAAAGTAATTCTCCATCTGCTCTGGCTGCTTAGGCAACAGTGGTTGCATGGAAGCCCTGAATCACAGCTTTCCACTCCCCCCCCCAAGCCTACAGCTGCCCCTTCAACTCCAAATGGCATGGCACTCTCACCAGTTCTTGCTCCAGGCATTATGTTCAGATTTAGCTTTAAAAAACAACTGTGGCCCTCTTTAAAATAGGAGGAAAGCAGAGCTGGGGGTGGGGGGGGAACACGTATTACACTGTTCGTTAATCAGTGTCTTAGACTCTTCTGAGAACCTCATTTGACTAAGAGCTTATGCTAATAACTTACGCTTACAGCAATTTGTAGCTCTGATGAACATGAGAATTGCTGGAGGCTTGCTTTAAAAACTAATCCATGCAGACTGGATGTGAGTTTTGTGGTGGCAAAAAGTATAGCGCATCTGTTACTCTGCTTTTAGATAAAACTTAAGCCCTTAACGAAATTTGAAGTGTCTTTCACCTTAGTGCTTGCCTGTATAAACATGTTCTGTAGAATGAGGATATTGGCGTGCTGTAATGGCTTTGAACGTAGGGTTTGGCGTTTTTCATCTCGAATCTTTATCAGTAACTTCCATCAAACCTAGTCATGCTCTGCTCAGCTATTTGCTATTTTCAATAATGCGAAATTGATTATTTGTTACCACAGTTATTGTCCTGGGGCAGTCCAAATCCACAGAGTGGAAAAATTCCCTTAAATTTGCAGTATTCCAACAGGAGTCTGGTTTTTATTTGAATACATGTTGCTTTAGTATATCTGGATGAAGATGTAGCTTTTACAGTGTAAACCAATTCACTGTGGATTCTTTCAGAAATACGTGGCTTCTGCATCTCAGCAATTGTCCTGGTGAAAATAAACATGACCTGAAAAGAAGCTGCCACGGAGGTGGGACACTTTGAGCTGATCATTTCCCTTTAACCCAGAGTTACCACTAAAATCTCCTTTACCCTAAATGTATGTTATTAGTTACTTTGTGTATCATTTAGCAAGTTCATTTCAGGGTTATCTTTTCCCCCTCTAAGTGCCATTGATTGGTCAAATAACTACCAGCAGAAGTGGGCCTTTGTTTGGTTTATCCAGATATTTCTTTTACATCACTAAAGTGTACCACAGACATCAAGCAGTGAAGAGCACTCTTTTTTTTGATTTTAGAAGGCTGCCTTTTTTTTTTTTTAACTGAGTTTATTGTTCAGTTCATCCATTTGTTTCTAACTAAGAGATTCCAGAGATGGAAGAACTGTGTTTATACTGCCCAAGGAGAGATTAAAGAGTATTTTTCTTCCTTTGGGACTGCCAGTCATTGTTCCTGTTTTTAAAGCACATCTATTTATGTAGTTGTAAAAACTGTGCGTTTGAGGGCTGCCTGGAATTGAAATGGACGTAACACGTTTCAAACTTATTTCTTTTTAAGTTGCTACCTCCTGGCTGGCTTCAATTCACATACTGTTAGCGTCTTAGAAGAAATCCGTTTTTTGCTGGAAAAATGTGTCTCTGCTTTCTAATAACGAAACTCTTCCCTTCAAAAGACAGAGTATGATTTTGTTCTAACTCTTTGGTAAGTATGCATCGGAGATCATAGTTTGTGGATCCAGCAAGGGGAGTGCTCCAGTCATTTAAAAGAATTAAAATTAGATTTACCAAAGCAAGATGCGTTATGAAGAACTGTTGTTAGTTTATTTTTCTTTTTTGCTATTATAATGCCTGCTGAATTTTTCTGTCATACAGCTTTTATTCCAGGATAATTCAAAGTCGTAGCAGTAGCAGAGACCCTGCAAGAGATTCAGCAAGGTACCTAAGTGGTTGCCTGTATTTAAATAAGTAAATGGTTCAGTATACTGTAATGGGATTACTTGTTTGATTAGAGTTAGGCGTTTCCCTAAAGTTCCCTCCTGGAGTTGAGACCAAAAGAAGCAAGAAGCAAGCCCAGCAGCTGGCCAAGTACTTGTGAGGCATTTCCTAAAGGAAATGCTATTGGAGTATTAATTACAATAGAAGCACCCCTTGGAAGAAAGAAAACAGCTTTTTTTTCTTTACTATTTCAAATGTTAGCATTATTGTCTCCTTTCCAATTATAGGCTTAAGTGCTAGAATCAATACAAAAATATTTCCAAAGTATATATG